TTATTTTATACTGCAAAAATGACTATAAAAACAAACATTCTGACTGTGAGCAGGGCTGCCTCTCAAAAAATAATGTGTTTTCAATTGACAGGAAGGGCATCTGGCTTAAAATCGCCCACACACACTGCAGCAAGTGGCTCTGGAGTGGTTTTATAGCGCAAAAATACCTTGAAAAGTGTTTTTATACTGCACAAACACTTGGAAAAACTGACATTCTGACTGAGAACAGTGTTGTCTCTCAAAAAAAATAAAGTGTTTTGAATTGTCAGGAAGGGCATCTGGTTTAAAATCGAACACATGCACTGCAGCAAGTGGCTCTGGAGTGGTTTTATAGTGCAAAAATACCTAGAAAAGTGGTTTTATAGCGCAAAATACGTAGAAAAGCTGACATTCTGACTGAGAACGGGGTGTTATAACCAAAAATACCAAGAAAAGTGGTTTTATAGTGCACAAATACCTAGAAAAACAGGTATTCGAACTGTAAGCGGGGTTTCCTCTCAAAAAAATGAAGTGTTCTCAATTGACAGGAAGGGCATCTGGTTTAAAATCGAACACATGCACTGCAGCAAGTGGCTCTGGAGTGGTTTTATAGTGCAAAAATACCTTGAAAATTGGTTTAATACTGCACAAATGCCGAGAAAATCTGACATTCTGACTGAGAACGAGGCTCCTTCTCAAAAAATAAAGTGTTTTTAATTGACAGGAAGGGCATCTGGTTTAAAATCGAACACACGCACTACAGCAAGTGGCTCTGGAGTGGATTTATAGTGCAAAAATACCTTGAAAAGTGGTTTTATACTGAAACAAATACTTAAAAAAACAGGCATTCTGACTGAGAACGGGGCTGCCTGTCAAAAAAATTTTGTTTTGAGCTGACAGGAAGGGCATCTGGTTTAAAATCTAACACATGCACTGCAGCAAGTGGCTCTGGAGTGGATTTATAGTGCAAAAATACCTTGAAAAGTGGTTTGATGGTGCAAAAATACTTAAAAAAACAGGCATTCTGACTGAGAACGGGGCTGCCTCTCAAAAAATAAAGTGTTTTGAATTGTCAGGAAGGGCATCTGGTTTAAAATCCCCCACACACATGCTTTAGCAAGTGGCTCTGGAGTGGGTTTACGGCGCAAAAATACCTTGAAAAGAGGTATACTTCACAAATACCTTGAGAAAGTGGTTTTATACTGCACAAATACTTTAAAAAAATGGCATTCTGACTGTGAGTGGAGCTTCTTCTCAAAAAAATAAAGTGTTTTGAATTGACAGGAAGGGCATCTGGTTTAAAACCCCCACACGCGTTGTAGCGACCTTACACATTAATATTTATGAATGAATTTAAGTGTATTATTGGATTATTGAGCTGCTCCACCTCGACCAGACCTGAATCCTTTTTCATGACATCAGATTTTTCAACTGTCTGCTACACTGAATCCTAATTAACCTCTTTTTTTTTTTTATGCTGTCACGCTAAAAATAATGTTGTGTTCACAGTTACAGAATCACTTTTGAGGAATTGCACTTTGATTACTTTAATTTCTAAAAAAGTGTTGAATTTTAAAGGTTTTATATGATGCAAAAATTGACTCTTGTGAGCTTTAAATCATGTTATAATTAGTGCTGTCATGCGATAAAAAAAATTGAGAGATTAATTAATTATGATCTGTAATTAATTAATCTAATTAATCTCATTTTAATCTCACCTAAAAATTGCTGAGAAAAGCTTCAATTTGAGGTATTTTCATTTAAATTCATGATTACATTATTGTGGCAGATCAAAACACTGATATAGATTTAAAAAAGTGACTTTATAAAGTCATTTATTGTTTAACAAATCTCTCCCAATTTGGTTGTTGAGCCCAAGTCTCCATGAATAAGAAACTGTTTGCTGTAAAGTAGCAAAGACGAGGAAATCTGAACATAATAACTTTTGTCTACTTAAAGACAATAAAAAGTCCAGTCTTTCCTTAACCAATATTATAAATATTATTGATAGAGAAATGCTTTATATATGAGATCACTGGTTTTAGTCCTTGTTTTAGTCCTGGTTTAGTCCTGGAATGGATTAATCCTGTTTTAGTCCTGGTGTTAGTTCTGGTTTAGACCTGGTTTAGTCCTGGTTTAGACCTGGTTTAGTCCTGGACTGGATTAGTCCTGGTTTTAGTCTTGGTGTTAGTTCTGGTTTAGAGGCTCACAGGAGGAAGCGCGGTTTACGCCGCGTACGCGAGAAAACACGATCCACACGTGGCTCACGGGAGCACGTCGGTGTCCGCGCAGTAACTACGGAAGGAAACATGGTCCGCGCGTTCTCAGGTTAATGACGATGATGAAGGTGTTTGTGTGTGTTGTGTGTGTGTGTGTTTGTATGTGTTTGTGTGTGTGTTTGTGTGTATGTGTGTTTGTGTGTGTTTGTGTTGTGTGTGTGTGTGTGTTGTGTGTGTGTGTTGTGTGTATAGGACAGTAGTGCAGACATCATGAGTCTATGCAGGTTGTTTTCACCAGTGACATTTAAGTTGTAGGCGATTTTATATTTGTTAGTTTCTTTTATATTTCACGTCGGGAGAAGAATTTCCAAGACACAAATGTGTTTTTTACCTGTGCACTGCTGCCTCTGTTCTACTGGCTCTTCCACCTCGTCCATTGTGACTGACGCCGCCAACGTTAACATGACGTTTACATCGCTCTTACTGTGCGCGTTTTGTGTGGGTTTCCGACAATGAGTGGAATTACCGAAAAAAAAAAATGTATAAATGTGTTTTTTGTGTGTGTTTGTGTGTGTGTGTTGTTGGGACAACAACACATAAAAACAGGTTTTATAATGAAGCAAACTCGCATACAGAAACACTAAAGTTAGAGATTAAAAATGAGATTAACGCGATTAAAAAACATAACGCGCTAAATATGACTGTAATTAATTAATCGCAATTAACGCGATAATTTGACACCCCTAGTTATAATGTTGTTATTTCTTCAAAAACAGACCTGAATTTGTGTTTTGTTTCATTCACACATGTTTGAGTAACGCTGTATTGTTAAATTGTTTACATCTTCGAAGCTCAAAATGCTCTGTTCCACCGTGTGATGTCATGAAGTGGTAGTTTTCAAGTTAACAGCTACGTTTTACTTTTAATTCAGCAGAGACTGGCAAATCCAGACCCGAAACAAAAATACAAAATGCAAAAATATCTTGAAAAACAGAAATTCTGACTGTGAGCGAGGGGGCCACTTAAAAACATAATGTGGTTTGAATTGTCAGGAAGGGCATCTGGTTTAAAATCCACCACACTCTCTGTAAGCAAGAAGGTCTGTGTGGAGTAAGAAAAGCTTTCAGAAATGTGTGTGCATATTTGGCTGTAGTTGAGCGTAAAATAAATATTTGTAAATTCTCGATTGAGTCCAGTCGTGCGTAAAATGTGTTGTGTGTTTTATCCATCGGAATATGAACTGAAAAGTTACGACATCAAGAATTATAATCACGAAATTTAAATTTACGATTCCGCTTTCTTCAGTATGAAAACAAATTCACAGACTGAAAAAAATGCGTCATCACTTCACAGGCAGAAGAAACATTGATCGAGATGATGCATAAGGACTGAACCAGGACTAAAACAGGACTAAATCAGGTCTAAACCAGGTCTAAACCAGGACTAAACCAGGACTGAACCAGGACTAAACCAGGACTGAACCAGGACTGAACCAGGACTGAACCAGGACTAAACCAGGACTAAACCAGGACTTAACCAGGATTGAACCAGGTCTAAACCAGGACTAAACCAGGACTAAACCAGGACTAAACCAGGACTGAACCAGGTCTAAACCAGGACTAAACCAGGACTGAACCAGGACTAAACCAGGACTAAAACAGGACTAAATCAGGTCTAAACCAGGCCTGAACCTGGACTAAAACAGGACTGAACCAGGACTAAACCAGGAGGATTAACTAGGACTAAACCAGTTTTAAACCAGACCCGGTCTGAACCAGGACTACACCAGGTCTAAACTAGGACTGAACCAGGAATAAAACAGGACTAAATCAGGTCTAAACCAGGACTGAATCAGGACTGAACCAGGAAAAATAAACCAGGACTAAAACAGGACTAATACAGGACTAAATCAGGACTAAACCAGGACTAAACCAGGTCTAAACCAGGTCTAAAACAGGACTAAAACAGGACTAAACCAGGTCTAAACCAGGACTAAATCAGGACTAAACCAGGACTAAACCAGGTCTAAACCAGGACCAAAACAGGACTGAACCAGGACTAAACCAGGTCTAAATCAGGACTAAAACAGGTTTAAACCAGGACTAAACCAGGACTGAACCAGGACTAAAACAGGACTAAAACAGGACTAAACCAGGACTGAACCAGGACTAAAACAGGACTAAACCAGGACTGATTCAGGACTAAAACAGGACTAAAACAGGACTAAACCAGGACTGAACCAAGACTAAAACAGGACTAAAACAGGACTAATTCAGGACTAAACCAGGTCTAAACCAGGACTAAAACAGGACTAAACCAGGACTGAACCAGGACTAAAACAGGACTAAAACAGGACTGAACCAGGACTAAAACAGGACAAAACCAGGACTAAACCAGGACTAAAACAGGCCTAAAACCAGGACTAAAACAGGACTCAACCAGGGTTAGGGTTTTTCACGTATGACTGGACTCAATCGAGAATTTACCACTATTTATTTTACTCTCACCTACAGCCAAATACGCCTACGAATATTTCTAAAATCTTTCTTACTCCTTCTTCCAGCTCTGGGTTGGTTTTATATTTCATCCAAAACCAGAAAAACAAAACAAACAAAAAAACGTAAAATGGCTCCTTTAAACCGTAAGAAAATATCCCAAACTTGTCAAGTGGAGGTCCCCTTGTCCGGAGACTGGACCGTGCGAAACATATTTGGAAACAAAAACAGAGCTGACACTTTCTTTCACTTACACGTCTTTTTTTTTTCCTCTTCCCCTCTCCTTTTTTTTATTCCTTTGCTACAGGTGCCAGTGCCCCCCGCAGCTCCAGGGCCCCGACTGTCAGCAGACGAGACTTAGTTTCCTTGGCAACGGCTATGCCTGGTTTCCCCCCATAAGGCCGTGCTTTGATAGCCATCTTTCACTGGAGTTTCTGACGGAAGAGGACGACGGACTGCTGCTCTACTCGGGCCCCGTGGCGACGCTGATGCCCGGAGACCGTGAGGATTACATGGCCATAGGTAACGCGACGAACTCCGGGTTAATTAGAACGAGCTCGAAAAAATGGATGCGATAAGTTTAACGAGCGCGGAGGAGATCACGGGATTGGTGGAGAAATGGCGTCGCGTCGTGTCGTTTGTGCGTTTGGTTCACGGGGCTTCGTGAAGGCGCGCTCAAGGGAATGTTCCGCAGTGCTGTTTTAAAGGTGTGTGTTATGTGAGATGTTAAAAAAAAAAAAAAAAAAAAAAGAAAGAAATATGAAATAGCTGCAACTTAAATGCGAAATGAAGAGAGCAGGACTGAACCAGGACTGAACCAGGACTGAACCAGGACTGAACCAGGACTGAACCAGGACTGAACCAGGACTGAACCAGGACTGAACCAGAAGGACTGGACCAGGACTGAACCAGAAGGACTGAACCAGGACTGAACCAGAAGGACTAAACCAGGACTGAACCAGGACTGAACCAGGACTGAACCAGGACTGAACCAGAAGGACTAAACCAGGACTGACCAGGACTGAACCAGGACTGAACCAGAAGGACTAAACCAGGACTGGACCAGGACTGAACCAGAAGGACTAAACCAGGACTGGACCAGGACTAGAACAGGACTAAACCAGGACTGGACCAGAAGGACTAAACCAGGACTGGACCAGGACTAGAACAGGACTAAACCAGGACTGGACCAGGACTGGACCAGGACTGAACCAGGACTGGACCAGGACTGACCAGGACTGAACCAGGACTGAACCAGAAGGACTAAACCAGGACTGAACCAGGACTGAACCAGAAGGACTAAACCAGGACTGAACCAGGACTGAACCAGGACTGAACCAGGACTGAGTGGTTCGGAGGTTTGCCCACGTAGACTGTCAGGTGACCGGTCCAGTCCTGGTTTAGTCTTGATCCAGTCCTGGTTTAGTCCTCTTTTAGTCCTAGTTCAGTCCTGGTTTAGACCTGGTTCAGTCCTGGTTGAGTCTTGGTTTAGTCCTGGTTTAGACCTGGTTCAGTCCTGGTTTAGTCTTGGTTTAGTCCTGTTTTAGACCTGGTTTAGTCCTCGTTTAGTCCTAATTTAGTCCTAGTTTAGTCCTGGTTTAGTCCTGTTTTATTCTTAGTTTAGTCCTGATATAGACCTGGTTTAGTCTTGGTTTAGTCCTGGTTTAGACCTGGTTCAGTCCTGGTTCAGTCCTGGTTCAGTCCTGGTTTAGTCCTGGTTTAGTCCTGGTTCAGTCCTGGTTCAGTCCTGGTTTAGTCTGGTTTCAGTCCTGGTTTAGTCCTGGTTTTAGTCTGGTTTAGTCCTGGTTCAGTCCTGGTTTAGTCTTGGTTCAGTCCTGATTTAGTCCTGGTTTAGTCGTGGTTCAGTCCTGGTTCAGTCCTGGTTCAGTCTTGGTTTAGTCCTGGTTTAAACCTGGTTTAAACCTGGTTCAGTCCTGGTTTAGTCTTGTTTTAGTCCTGGTTCAGTCCTGGTTCATTCCTGGTTTAGACCTGGTTTAGTCCTGGTTTAGTCCTAATTTAGTCCTAGTTTAGTCCTGGTTTAGTCCTGTTTTATTCTTAGCTTAGTCCTGGTTTAGACCTGGTTTAGTCCTTGGTTTTAGTCCTGGTTTAGTCCTGGTTTAGACCTGGTTCAGTCCTGGTTCAGTCCTGGTTCAGTCCTGGTTTAGTCCTGGTTTAGTCTTGGTTCAGTCCTGGTTTAGTCCTGGTTCAGTTCCGGTTTAGTCGTGGTTCAGTCCTGGTTTAGTCCTGGTTCAGTCCCGGTTTAGTCTTGGTTCAGTCCTGATTTAGTCCTGGTTTAGTCGTGGTTCAGTCCTGGTTTTAACCTGGTTTAAAGTCCTGGTTCAGTCCTGGTTCCTGGTTTAGTCCTGGTTTAGTCCTGGTTTAGTCCTGGTTTCAGTCCTGGTTTAGTCCTGGTTTAGTCCTAGTCCTGGTTTTAGTCCTGGTTTAGTCTTGGTTTAGTCCTGGTTTAGTCCTGGTTTCAGTCCCTGGTTTAGTCTTGGTTCAGTCCTGATTTAGTCCTGGTTTAGACCTGGTTTAGTCCTGGTTCAGTCCTGGTTTAGTCTTGGTTCAGTCCTGATTTAGTCCTGGTTTAGACCTGGTTTAGACCTGTTTTAGTCCTAGTTTATACCTGGTTTAGTCTTGGTTCAGTCCTGGTTTAGTCCTGGTTTAGACCTGGTTTAGTCTTGGTTCAGTCCTGGTTTAGTCCTGGTTTAGACCTGTTTTAGTCCTAGTTTAGTCCTGGTTTAGTCCTGGTTCAGTCCTGTTTTAGTCCTGGTTTAGACCTGTTTTAGTCCTGGTTTAGACCTGGTTTAGTCCTGGTTTAGACCTGGTTCAGTCCTGGTTCAGTCCTGGTTCAGTCCTGGTTTAGTCCTGGTTTAGTCCTGGTTCAGTCCCGGTTTAGTCTTGGTTCAGTCCTGGTTTAGTCCTGGTTTAGTCCTAGTTTATACCTGGTTTAGTCCTGGTTTAGTCCTAGTTTATAGTCCTGGTTTTAGTCCTGGTTTTAGTCCTGGTTTTAGTCCTGGTTTAGTCCTGGTTTAGTCCTGGTTTAGTCCTGGTTCAGTCCTGGTTTAGTCCTGGTTAGTCCTGGTTCAGTCCTGGGTTTAGTCCTGGTTTCAGTCCTGGTTTAGTCCTGGTTTAGTCCTAGTTTCCTGGTTTAGTCCTGGTTTAGTCTGGTTCAGTCCTGGTTTAGTCCTTGGTTAGTCTGGTTTAGTCCTGGTTTAGACCTGGTTTAGTCCTGGTTTAGTCCTGGTTTAGACCTGGTTTAGTCCTGTTATTTCTGTTCTGTAGATGATGATAAACGGTGTTAACATTAATAACACAATCATAACAACAATGTTCCGTTTAAACTTGTCTATTTTACATTTTCTCCACTACAGACGTTTTCACTGCTTAAAAACACCATGAAAAACAAATCTCCATGGAGACGAGCGGCACGTGACACACCCTCCACCAGAAAAGTTACACAGTGCACCTTTTAGTAACAAAACCGAGTACTTCCGATTCCCCCCGGCTATTTTTTTTCTTTTCTTTTTACTCACTGTTTACAGAGAAAAGTGTGGTACCAGTTTTTAAACACAGTGACATAGTTTAGACTCCACATGCTAATGAGTTGCCATAAACTAATTAGAACAGGCTGCTGCACTAACGAACCCACTGCTTTTGGAACCAAGATGATTTATTCTTACAGCTCGCGCCTACTTCCTCCTTTCACCATTTCAACGTGAGATAGGCCGGTTTAAAATGAACTTTGATCGATAACCGCAATTATAAATCTGGAACAAGCGTTAGTTTCAGGTGGAGACGCTTAAAGGCCCAATAATACGCAAAATTAACTCGTGTGAGCTTTGAGCCGTGTTATAATGTTGTTTCCTCGTCAAAAACAGACCTGGAGTTGAGTTTTGTTTCATTCACAGATGTTTGAGTGATTTTATTATTGGTCCAAAGCTCAAAACTGCTCTGTTCGACTTTGTGATGTCATATGGTGGTTTTCATGTGAACAGCTCCTTTTACCTTTAGTTCAGTAGAGATTGAGTGAGGGTCGGGCCTTAAAGGTTGTATGGAGGATTTTATTTATTTATTTTTTTGTTTCAAGTTGTCAATGATAGCATTATAGAGATGCAGTAGCCTTGTAATTATGATGACCAAAAAAAAAGAGAATAAAAATTCATCAACTCTGGACGTGGTGGGGCTAAACATTTGCCAATAGATAACGACACTGCCTCGTTATCTGTGAGCTGACAGGCTGTCAATCAAACTCCCTACGTTTCTAGCGTAACTGACTTGCCTGCGCCGCCGGTACGTGGTTTACGTACGACTGTCACGCAGTCCACAGACGCAAGACGCACAGACGCTGTTTACTCCACCAACGCAACAGTTCTTAGCGGCTTTTTTTGACCTATATCTTCCTCGCAGTTCGCACAAAGTTTGTTGCGATGGCGACAAGAATCCAGGAGCAGTTCGCCGCAAAAGAAAGTCCGTTTTTGAGATTGATGAAAGAAGAAGACAAGGGGAAAAGCAGCGAAGCCAAACTAAGGTGATTCTTGGAGATTCATTCCAGCGATGGCGCGACTGAAGCAGACGCAGGGTCTAAAGACTGACGCACTGGTCCACAAATTACTCCTGGACAGGAAACTTCTGCTTATTATGAAAACGTACTTTATTTCCAAGAGCGACACAAACGTTTTTCAGGACACGAAAGCGATATCCTATGTCTGAAAACGTAATTTTCAAGGCAAAGAAAGAGTCCGCTTGCTGCTGCGTGTTGTAGTAGTCTCTGCCCGTTCCGTTCTTCCCCCCGCTCCTCACTTCTCCGTCTTGCCTAACCAACACTGTAGTTAGTTGTTTACAAGTCATGTGCAGTTCACCGGCTGTAAACAAACCTGTTTCTGGTGTAAGGAGGAGGCGTTTCTACGTAGGAGCTGTAGGGGAGGGGGGGTGGTTTCACACATGCGCAACATTTGAAAAAGGACAAACAGTCGCTGGATTTCTCGTTCCTTGGAAAATCCTCTATACAACCTTTAATTCATCTCAAAAATACTCGATACAAAAATAAATGCCAGATTTAGATTTCTTATGAACCCGTGTATCATTCGTTCATTTGTTTTTCCAATATAAAACCAAAAATAAGAAAACGAAAAAACAACCGTTTTCTTCATTATTTGTCTCCAAACCAAAATGAACAGATTATGATTTGTTTTTTTCAGTTTTTTGATTTTGTGTTTAAATGAAGAATGGAAAAAAAAAAAAAAAGGATAACGGCCGTTTCCCGTTTACGTGACTGCGATGTCGGACTGAACCAGGACTGATCCAGGTCCGGGACCAGAGCGAGACCAGACCAGGACCAGACCGGGACCAGACTAAGACGAGACCCAGGCCGGGACTGAGACCAAGACCGAGACCAGACCTGGACCAAGACAGACCTGAGACCGAAAGACCAGACCACCTGGACTGAGACCAAGACCGAGACCTGGACTGAGACCAGACCTGGACTGAGAGACCAAGACCAGACCTGGACCAAGACCAGA